TCTTTCTTTCTTTCTTTCTTTCTTTTTCTTTCTTTCTTTTTCTTTCTTTCTCTTTCTTTCTTTTTCTTTCTTTCTTCTCTTCCTTTCTCTTTCTTCCTTTCTTTCTTTTTTTTATAGACCATAGATTAGACTATTTTTAACACCCACATGCCATGAATTCAAAGGGCATAGGTTCTAGTAGCTCAGGCTCCTTTCCACGGGTTCTCACGAAGTGTGCTTCTCTGGGTGGAGCAGGCTGGTGCTTCAGTTGAACAGGGTAACTTTCTCTTTGGTTTCCTTCTTTTTCTGGTCATTTTTCTTCACACGTTTTGGGAAGCTATCTCTGCTCTTAGAATGGTTAAAATGCTCAATACACACATTCATTCTCTTGGCAAGGATCTTGTCCTTAACTTGTTCACAACAATGCCAACAGCATGCTGGGTGACACTGTAGACTCTTCCAGTTTTGCCATGGTAACATTTGTGGGGCATTCTTTTTTGAACAGTACCCCTTCCCTTGATGTCTACAATATCACCTTTCTTGTGGATTCACATAATGTTACCAAAGGAGCTACTCCATGTTTTCTAAAAGGCCTAGAGAACACAGATCAGGTGCCCCTTTGTGTTCGTCAGGCTGAGACAGCACTTGGACAGGGTCCTTCTGCTGTGACCAGCCTTGGCCAGCCCCAGGTGATGGCACATGTGGACCAGGTCACTCGGGGCAGCCTCTGGGTGTGAACTGGAAGCCCTCCCTGGGGCTCCCTGGCAGAGCGTGGCAGGCTGACCACTGCTGGCCCTGACGCTATCTCAGGGAAGGCCTTCAGCTGCCATCTCTTCTCCCTGGCCAGGCTGGACTGCTTCCTGTTGATACTGGAGCCTTGAGATTTTTGGTGACCAGCTCAGGACCACTCTGTTCTGCAACTTGAGGCCCTCCCGATCTGACAGCTAACGCACTTGCACGGGACAGGTATGACAAGATTTCACTGTGTGTAAATCTTCACACACACCATCATGTTACGTATATAGTATATAATTTAAATTAGAGACAGATACTATAGCAGAAACTTCTCTTTCAGAGATTTGAGTTTCAGAAGTTGATGGGACCAGGAGATGGTGTACTGGTTATGTTGCTGGACTCCGACGTAGTCGACCACAGTTTGAGTCCCAGACCTGGCAGCTTGGAACTCACACTGGGCACGTGTGCGTCCATGCCCAGAATCCCAGGAGGGGAATGGAGAAGAAGGGAACTGAGGCGTGGCCATCCCCCCAGGGACTGATTTCTCGCTTTCTGTCTCTCTGTCTCTCCAGTGAGCACACGTACCCTATGGCGAAAATCCCTCTGGGGAAAAAAAAAAGTTGATGGCACTGCACAAAATGCGAGAGGGTGGGACAGTGCTTCACCTGCTGCTTATGCTGGAGCGTCTTCCTAAGGGCGTGGGCAGTGAGGTTGCCATGGCAACTGTGCCTGACAGTGCAGCCAAACCCCCAGAGCTCCCGAAAACCCCAATGTCTTCTTTTCACTTGGTTCTCAAGGAGCGCCTGCCTTATGGGCGTACGTTAATTTTGTCTTACTGAGTTGTTTTCCTCTCTTTGTCACTTTCCTGTGTGTGTGTGGGGGGGGAATGAGCCGGGCTGGGATCGGCAGTCACTCTGGGATGTGGCAGTGAGGAGTGTCAGTCGAACTGAGGCACCGTCTCGGCTGAGCCTGTGGAGGGGAGCCTGCTGTCACGGCTGTGTGCAGGGTTTGGTCAGACTTGCCTGGAAGATTCTGGGACCTCTCCATGAACAGTTCTGCCATAGCCAGGACCTGGAACACACCCGCAGGCACACCGGCCCTCCGGAGCTCACTGTCCCAGGCAGTCCTTCCTGGGCCACAGGCTCTGCCCTCCTGGCTGCACAGCCAGCTCTTGGGGGGCCTGAGGTGGGCGGCCACACAGAGCGGCCGGGGAGCACTAGTGAGGTCTCCGCGTGTGCAGGAGAGGGAGCCAGGATTGGCAGCCCTGGAGACAAAGTCCGGTGTTGGCAGCTTTGTTACCAGCTTCATGTTGGACATCTTTGCTTAAGGAGCTCAGTGAGGTCTCTCGCCCAGGGGAGGTCAGAGCCGGGCAGACCGGGATGTGGCCGGAGGGCTGGACACACTAGCAGCCTGTGCATCCCCCGCTCAGTGGAGCCCAGGAGGCTGCCCAGGAATAACAAGGTGAGCTCTGGGCTCCGTGGCTGTGACCTCGGGGTCACCACAAGGGTGCCGGCCCACTTAGTGCCGGGTCTATGCCCAGCCAGTGCTCAGTGCAGGCCTCCAAGGACCGTGTCCCCAGTGCTCTGCTCTTGGTTGTGCTGAAGGTGACGTGGCCCAGTTAACGAGCCGCTCATTCAAGCCACGCGGGGCAGCACGGGGATAAGTGCACATTTCCCTGCCTTGGGGACAGCGGACTCCGGGCGATGGCCCCGCAGGAACTCCGTACCACACTCACCGAGCTCTCGCGTCCCCAGGAAGACAGCGGAGTCTCCTGCTGTCCAGAGGAAGGGGTGCTGCTGGTCCCTGAATGAACCAAGAGCATGTTCTCCAGCTCTGCAGGAGGCCCCAGCGAGCCAGAGGGTGGTGGCACAGCGGAGGGCTAGAGGCAGCAGAGCACGGAGGCCCTGGCCAGCCAAGCCTGAGTGCGGCCATTGTGTCCTCAGCGGGTGGCTGCAGCCTGGACCTCGGGGCCAGCCAGCGAGGGCTCCTGCACCAGGGCTCAGGAGTCGGGCTTGTGCAGGCAGCTCGGCCCTGCGTGCTGGCACTGAGGTGGGCGTTTCGATGCCACAGGGTTTGGTGTGATGAGTAAACGTCTCCCTCTGCGTCTGACAGCCTGGCTGGTCATGCCCTTCTTTCTGTCCTGCACTAGCCACCATGCAGCTGAAGGCGGTAGGCTGCGCGGCCCCACCATCTTGCCTGACTAGAACAGACTCCAGCGAGGAAGGTCTGGGCAAGGCCCAGGGGTTTCCGCCTCTCAAGGGTCAGTCCAAAGAACGGCCTAGACCTCACCAGCTTCATCTAGGGCTTGAGGGAAGGTGACACCAGGAGGGGGTCATGGGGGGTCCAAGCCCACTCTGTGACTGTCTCTTTGTCCCTGCCTTCACTCTCAGTTACTAGGACAGCTGCAGGCATTTGGGGCCCCTAAAATACAGACAGGCACAAGGAGATTCCATCTTCTTGAAGTTAACAATTGTGTTCAAACGTCATTCTCAAGAACAGGAGCCTCTCTTAGTGACTGTTTTTCCCTCTCACAGACCTTCCAAAGGAGAATGTTGGCTGAGAACTCCTCCTCCGTGACGGAGTTCCTCCTCGCAGGCCTGATGGCCCAGCCAGGACTCCGGGCCCCCCTCTTCTGCCTGTTCCTGGGGTTCTACGTGGTCACCATGGTGGGGAACCTGGGCCTGATAACCCTGATCGGGCTGAGCGCCCCCCTGCACACCCCCATGTACTTCTTCCTCTTCAACCTCTCCTTCATAGATTCCTGCTACTGCACCACCGTCACCCCCAAGATGCTGATGGGCTTTGTCTCAGGGAGGAACGCCATCTCCCATGCCGGCTGTATGACCCAGCTCTTCTTGTTTCTCTTCTTTGTGGTCTCGGAGTCCTTCGTCCTGTCGGCCATGGCGTATGACCGCTACGTCGCCATCTGCAGCCCTCCCGTCCCCATCGTCAGCCCTCTGCTGTCCTCGCCCGCCATGTCTCCCCGGGTGTGCCTGCTCCTCCTGGCGGGCGTCTACGGGATGGGGTGTGCAGGGGCCGTGGCCCACACGGGAAACATAGCGGGTCTGACGTTCTGTGCAGGCAACCTTGTCAACCACTACATGTGTGACATCCTCCCCCTCCTCGAGCTGTCCTGCAATGGCTCCAGCCTCAACGTGCTGGTAGTCTTCCTTGTGGTGGCCGTTGGCATCGGGGTGCCCATTGTTGCCATTTTTGTGTCTTACGGTCTCATCCTCTCCAGCATCCTCCACTTCAGTTCTACCCATGGCAGGTCCAAGGCATTCAGCACCTGCAGCTCCCACCTCATTGTGGTTTCTCTGTTCTTTGGGTCGGGAGCTTTTATGTACCTGAAACCCCCTTCTATTTTACCCCTGGACCAGGGGAAAGTGTCCTCCCTATTCTACACCATTGTGGTGCCCATGCTCAACCCACTAATCTACAGCCTACGGAATAAGGATGTCAAAGTTGCCCTGAAGAAAACCTTGGGCAGAATAACCTTTCTGTGAAAAATGTCTTAGAGGGACCAGCAGTTAGCATAATGGCTATGTCACTGAACTCCCAAGTAGCCGACCGAGGTTCTAGCCCCAGACCCGGTGATTTAAACTCATGCCAGGTGCGTGTGCGTGCGTGCCTAAGATCCCAAGAGGAGAATGGAGGAGAAGGGATTGCAACATGGACATCCCCTCTGGGGGGTGATTTCTCGCTTTCTATCTCTCTGTCTCTTTCTGTCTTTCTTGCGAGCGCATGCACCCTATAGCAAAAAACAAAAACAAAAACAAACAAACAAAAAAACTCTAAAAAAAACCAGATCCAATAATTTTTATAGTGTTTTATTAGAATTATTAATTTTAAAATGAGGAATCTAAGCTCCAGTGCTTTCTGTCATATATGTAGAGAACAGTTACTTTTTCTTCACGTTTAATTGTTGTGTATCTCCATAGCACTCAATGTAGTTTCTCAAAACATTCATTACCTTACCATCACATTAAGGCTGTTACCACATATTTCTTTTCTACTGGAGAACGTATTGTTATGTCTATCGAGTACTTTCTCCCTAAGACCCTCCCACCCACACCCCCTCCAGTTTCCCCTGTAGCGTCCACACTTGTCTTCCCCACCCTTGTATCTTCGGGTCTTTACATCTCTGTCATGTAGCGCAGACATTTGGTACATGGCGAATGTGGGCATATGGTGACTTTCATAGTCTGGCTGCTTTACTTAGCAGTAAGTCTTCTATGTTCCTTCACTTTGTATCAGATAACAAAGTCTCGTTTCTTATGTCTGAGTGATATTTCACAGTGTACGTGTGCCACATTTTTTTTCAGTCTAGTAATCCATTCTTGGGCATTTGGATTGATATCACGTTTTAGCAATTGTGAATAAAACTGCAAGATGTGAAAGTGTCTTTCTGACTATTTTTCTATCCTTTGGGTAAACACCTAGGAGTAGGATTACTGGGTCAAATGGAAGTTCTATTTAAAGGTTTTTGAGGAATCTCCATATTGTTTTCTACAGTGGCTGTACAATTTACGTTTTCACCAGCAGCATAGGAGGGTTCCCTTTTCACCACAGCCTTGCCAGCACCTGTTGTTCTTTATTTTCTTGATCAGAGCTATTCTTACTGGGGTTAAGTGGTATTTCATTGTGGTTTCAATTTGCATTTCCCTTATGATAAGAGATGTTGAATTTTTTTCATATGCTTTTTGACCATTCATATATATCTTCCTTAGAGAGTCATCTGTTCAACTCTGTTGCCCATTTTTAAACTGGATTATATGTTTTTTGGGGGGGTTTTGTTTTGTTTTGTTTTGCAGGTAAACTGCTCGAAATCCTTGTGTAGTCTGTATCTCAATCCCTTATCTGAAGTATAGCTTAGAAATATTTTCTCCCATCTGAGGGTTGTCTCTCCACTGTAATTATTGTTGCCTTTGCTGTGCAGACACTTTTTAGTTTGATGTAATCTCACTTGTCTATTTTGGGTATTGTTGCCTGTACTTTCTGGGTCTTATTTAAGTCTAATGTCTTCAAGTGTTTGCCCCGTGTTTTCCACCAGTAGTTTTATGGTTGAGGTGTTACATTTATTTCTTTGATCCATTTTGAGTTGATTTCTGTTAATGGTGAGAGATAAGGGCCCAGTTTCATTTTTCTGCAGGTGGGTATCTAGTTCCTCCAGCACCATTTGCTGAACAGACTTTCTTTTCCCCACCGGCCTGTCTTGCACTCTTTGTCAAAGATCAGTTGGCTGTATGATTTGAGGTTTCTCACTGAATTCTCTATTCTGTCCCATTGGTCTACATACCTATTTTTGTGCCAGATCCATGATGTTTTGATTATCAAAGCTTTGTAATATGTTTTGAGGTGAGGAAGAGAGATGCCTCCTACTTATTTTTTGCACAGCATTGTCTTGATGGTGCAGAACCTTTTTTGATTCCAGACAAATTTTATGTTTTTTTTTTTCTATTTCTGTGAAGAATGTCACCAGTAGTTTAATTAGAATTGTATTGAATTTGTAAATTAACTTGGGTAGAATTTATATTTTTAATTACATTGATTCATCTAATTCAGGAACATGGAATGTCTTTCCACTTTGGTGTATAATGTTCAATCTCTTTTCTCAATTTTTCATAGTTTTTCACTCAGAGGTATTTTACCTTGTAGAGGAATTTATTTATTTATTTATTGACCATAGGGCATGTGTGCTTGCCAGAGAGAGACAGAGAGGGAAAGTGAGAAATCGCCCCCTGAGGGGATGGCTACACCACAATCTCTACTCCATTCTCTCATGATTTGGGGCATGCACTTGGTGTGTTTTTCAGGCTGCTGGATCTGAGACTCAAACTACAGAGTCAATCATGTGGGATCCAGCACCCTAGTCACCATGCCACCTGCGGGCCTGTGGAGGAAATTTAACTGTGTTTTTCCAAGTGAATTTACTCTCCTCTACCCTCATCCCCAACTCTTCCTTTTTTATTTTATGAAAATAGCTTCTATAATTACATAATATTCAGTGTTGGATAGGCTTAGGGATCATTCTATGCAGCGCTTTATAATACACCACACTTTGGAGGCTGAGAAATATGTGTAAATCACCCGAGAACATGCGACTTCCTGGAGCAGAGCTGGGCTGAAACCTTCTTTTATTCCATGTTTTCTGTCTGTCTCTTCTTGGAATATCTCATTTCACATGTTAGTTGACCTGACACATTTAAGTTATGAAGACATTCACCATAATTCCATGCTATTTTTCAGTATAATTTTAACATATCACATTTTGCAGGAACGTGGGAGGTGAAATATTTTTTTGAGTTGGTCTTGGCAAAGTGACAGGCTCAGGGTATGATGAATTTGTGCCATGTAAGTAAGGAGTACATTGGGTGGCTGAGGCCGGCAAGCATGGAGCCCACTGACTTGCAAGGTGGAGCCCGGGGTCAGCCCAGCACCAAGAACTTCCAAGAGAAGGAGACACAAAATCTTAAGGTGTGCGGGGATGCTGGGCAGAGGAGCCATGTATTATTTCAAGATGAGTAGAGGCAGCATTTGGAGCTCATTTCAAAGTTATTTGGGTGTGGATGTCTGGAGGGGGTGTGGTGCAAGGTGTTTGAGGGATGCACTCCCGTAGTCACCAGGTGGGAGTGGCTATCGAGGGTTTGGGGGGTGACGCCCATGCCAAGATGCCGAAACTCATGGACTGTCACCTCCCAAGGAACTGCCCTGCCCCTTGGACCCTCCTCTAGCCCTCCCTACCCTCCAGGCAGCCAGCCCCTGATTTCCTGTCACTGGTTGTCATTTTCAAGATTTTATGTAAATGGAATCAAATGGTTCAAACTCATTTTTGCCTGTTCCCTACCACTCCGCACAGTATTTTCAAGTCCCTCCACACTCTGGGTGCCTTGACAACTGGTGGCATTTTTTTTTTTTTTTTGAGAGGTTTTTTGCTATAGGGTGCGTGCTCTTGACAGAAAGACAGAGAAACAGAGAGCGAGAAATCACCCCCCCAGGGGGGATGGCCATGCCGCAATCCCTTCTCCATTCTCCTCTCGGGATCTTGGGCACGCATGCACACGCGCCCAGCGTGAGTTTAAGCCACTGGTCCGGGACTCGAACCGCAGTCGACTACATGGGAGTCCAGTGACATAGCCATTACACCAACTGCTGGCCCCTGTTTCTAGTGTTTTAATCATAGTTAGAATGTTTTATTATTGCTGAGGTTATGAAGAAATTCAGCCATTTTTATAATGTTCATGTGATTTCATTTTCTTACATTTGGCTGTCTGCTCTATTATAAAAAGTCAATTTTCAGGACCAGCAGTTGGCATAATGGCTATATCACTGGACTCTCATGTAGTCGACTGCGGTTCGAGTCCCGGACTTGTAGGCTTAAATTCATGCCGGGTGCGTGTGTGTGCGTGCCCAAGGTCGCGAGAGGAGAATGGAGGAGAAGGGACTGCGGTGTGGCCATCCCCCTGGGGGGCGATTTCTCGCTTTCTGTCTCTGTCTTTCTGGCGAGCACATGTACCCTATAGCAAAAGCCTCTCCTCCACAAAATAAAGTCAATTTCCCCCTGCTTTTGCTCTCTTGCCTTCATCACATACTAAATCTCATAGACAGTTGGGCTGTTTTTGTGTTTCCATTCTGTTCCACTGCTTTGTCTATCCATAAGCCAGTACCGTTATGGAAGCTTTATGAGATTTTATATCTTGAGGGTAACTTCCCATATACCCTTCTTTTTTAGGGTTTTGCTAGCTATTCATGTTTAGCTTAATCTTTATCATAAAAAGTTTGCTAGCATAACTACTGCATTAGTGTATTGAAGATTGCATCTAAATATACAAGTAAATCGAGGGCAAACTAGCATCTTTGGTTGCTGAGACTTTCTTTTTTTTTTATTAGGTTTTCACTATAGGATGTACACTTATCAGAGAGAGACGGAGAGACGGACAGTGAGAAGTCCCACCCCAGGGGGATGGCCATACCACACTCGCTTCTCTCCCATTCTCCTCTTGGGATTTTGGGTGCACAAGCACAGACACTGTGCATGACTTTAAGCATCCAGGTTCGAGGTCAACGGTAATCAGCCACGTGGGAGTCCGATGCCATAACCACCGCGCCACCTGCTGGTCCCAAGGGTTGTGAGACTTTCTATCACGAAGTGTGATATGTCTTTCAATGTTTTAAGACCTACTTTAATAATTTTTTAGGAGTGTCTCATAATTTTCTTCATCTATATTTTGCATATTTTTCTTTTTCTTTTTTTTGGAGAGGTTTTTTCACTATAGGGCGCATGCGCTCACCAGACAGACAGAGAGAGACAGAGACAGAAAGTGAGAAGTCACCCCCCAGGGGGGATGGTCACGCTGCAATCCCGTCTCTTCCATTCTCAGGGGGGATGGCCATGCCGCAATCCCTTCTCCATTCTCCTCTCGGGATCTTGGGCACGCATGCACACGCGCCCAGCGTGAGTTTAAGCCACTGGTCCGGGACTCGAACCGCAGTCGACTACATGGGA